GAAGAAGAGGATCAGCCAGTGTGAAAGAACATAAGAGACCAGTTTGTTGTAATTTGGTGGATAAGGAGCCTAACTTACTCTCCATCTCTCTTCCTCCCCCTCTCTCTCTCTCTCTCTCTCTCTCTCTCTCTCTCACACACACACACACACACACACACACACACACACACACACACACACACACACAATTATGCAGGGTCTCAAACCTTTTCTTTCTCTCAGCTGGTGTTGTCTTCACTAACAATATATTTTCATTACTTTCAGCTTTTAATTGTCTCCCTTTAATCTCCTTCATGCTCCTGTAAGTTTAGTGAATGAATGTTGCAGCTTAGGTCACATCAGGGTGCCAGCCTTCCCATATACCAGTAGACATTCACACACACACACACACACACACACACACACACACACACACACACACACACACACACACACACACACACACACACACTCTGCTGTCTCTATAGCCTGTATGACTCTGCAAGATGGCAACTGCATGGAAAGGAAATGTAAAAACCCATAGAGATTATCATCTCACATGAGAAAGTTTTTGAAAGAAGGAAAAAGTGTATGTAATTGAGCAGATACATGTATTTTTGCATTCAAAAATCACTCTGGGTGAGTTAGATAATAGACCTCAAAATTGCAGTACCATGACCAACTCGACAGCTAGTAATAAACAACAGCAGGATTATTAAAACGTGTATTATTGAGGATATGCTACAGGTAAAAAGCTAACAAAAACACATCTGTAGCTTCATGTTGGCTCTAGACGGGCCAAATAATATGAACAACAACAGGTACAATGGTACGGAAGCCGAGAACGGCCATGGATTTTTCTTTTTTTAATGCTCTGTTATCTCGCAATAACGACTTATTATCTTGTTATCTATCTAACAAAGATTGTTTTCTCGTTAAAACGAATTCATTTATTTTGTTATCTCGATATAACAAAGATCGTTTTCTCGTGATAACTAGCTGCCACAAACGGCTTCCGTAGCCACTGGCTGTAGCTGTAGCCTACCAGTAAGTTACACTTTACGTTAGTTTGTTTACTTGACTGGAAGCTGTTCGTGGCAGCTCTTGTAGGTTGAAATCAAGACGAACACATTATTAATTAATTAGTTATCACGAGAAAACTATCTTTGTTATATCGAGATAATAAGTCGTTATCACGATATGCATAAAAAATAAAAAAAATCCTTGGCCGTTCTTGGCTTCCGTACAATGGAAACCACAGAGTCAACACATGAAATGTCTAATCGATCGTTTAAAACCAACAACTTACTACAGAATGTATTATTAGGAAGTCCTTGATGGATAACTTTCACTCACTTTTTAAAACTTTTGTTGATGTGGTATATTAATGATAAACTAATGTAAACAAGTATAATCTGACATCTAAAGACTATTTGTTGAAGTGTGGAGCTTCATCGCTCCTCGCTGAAGGCTGCTGTTAAAGTGTAAATGTAGCAGTACAGTGAGCAGGAGGAAGCATTTCTCAGTTCCTGCCAGCGTCCACTAGAGGGCGCCATACCAACAGCAAAGAAGTGAAACCACATCGCTGCTCACTACCAGACAATTTGTTGCTCATCATTTGCCAACAAGCAAACTTTACACACTACTTTTAAGGCGTGAGGGAGAGCGGACAGTCCACTGAGTGTGTGTGTGTGTACATGTACTGTATGCAGTACGTACACATGTGCAGGTCGTCCGAAACAAGCAGAGGCAGCATGCAGAGCACTTATCCCACAGCCTGATACTTTCCATTTAAATAACTCAATGAAACAGAAAGATAAAGTCATCCGAAGGTAATTAGAAATCTGTGAGTGTGTGAGAGAGAGCGAGACAGAGAGATTTTCATGGTGTTTTATTCATGGTGTGAGACAGCTTAGGCCTTGCTCTGCTGTTATCTGGTGGCCTCCTACTCCTTCACCACCACAATGGCTCCTGCTACCACATTCATCAACTTGACATCACACACACACACACACACACACACACACACACACACACACACACACACACACACACACTCTTTTCTCCCTCTCACTTCACACTATCCCATCCCCTGTTCTATCTCCCTCCCTGCCCCCCACCATATGTCTTTCCACTCCACATTTCTCCAGCTACATTTCTTCACCTCCTTATTACTCTGAGAGGCAGAGCAAGTGAATGATTCTTCTAACTCATCTCCCACTCTTTGTGACACATCATTTGTCGTTCTGATTAGAGCCCATAAGGGTGCCTGTGGAGTGTGTGCAAGGCTGACGATGCGTGTGTGTGTGTAAGTGTTTGGCTACAGAGGGAAACTGGCTGTCATTAACGTGGACTTGTGGCTGACTCGTTGTCTGCGCTGCTGATCATCTCCTGAGTGCTGAGGAGCAAGAAAGACAGTTGTGTGTGCTGACATGGCTTTTTACCTGCCACCTACCCTGTGCAGTGATGGAATTAGTCGGGTTAGATTGTCTGCTGAAGATGCGATGTGTTTTTGCTGCAGAAATCACTCAGCAATGTCAGTTTTGTACAGAAAATGTATAATTGATGTAGCTTTTTAGCCACACCAGTGACACTCAGTTGGTTAGACCACTTCGGTCTAGACTAAAATATCTTTGCGCCACAGTGTAGTTGGAATGTTTTTAGTGGAATTATTGGATGGATCGATGGATTGGATTAAAATTTGTTTTCCCTCAGGATGAATTGTAATCGCTTTGTTGATCCCTTAACTTCACATCCCATTTATGTTCCCATCAGCCCTGCTTTGTGTTTCGTGATTATTAGCATGTTTCGACAGTTTGTCCCAAATCCATACTATACTGTATCAACAGAACCGTATACTACAACATTAAGAACACGACAAACATTATTCCTGCTTAACATCAGCATGTTAGCATTATCACAATTAGCATGTTAGCATGCGGATGTTAGCCCAAAGCACCACTGTGCATGAGTACAGCCTAACAGAGCTGCAAGCACGGCTGTAAACTCTAAGTCTTGTTCATTTTATTTCATTTTAATATTCGCCTTTCTGCTCCTGCTTGACATGTGTGTGTTCAATTTTCATAATAAATAAGGATAAGAAAATTATATATAATAATAATAATAATAATAATAATAATAATAATAATAATAATAATAATAATAATAAAGAAACATAACAAAATACATTTTGGGTGTTTTGTCTTTTGGAAGAAATTCCTTGAACTGCTGGAAATGTTTGACCTTTTATACAATAAATGATTAATTGGAAGGAGCAGCAGATTCAGTGATAAAGAGAATGATTGTTTCTTACAGCCCTGCAGCTAGTCTAGTCTGATTGGATTTGTCTAGGAAACCGACGAGTTTCCACCCAGGCTGCCGGTACTATCAACAGTTCTAAGTTTTCACATCAGTAATGAACACCTCAACATCGAGCTCTCTGGAGATGCTAAGGTGTGTGCTTTAGGGGGTGGACTGTAGCAAACACCTCCAACTGCAGCCTCCCGCCTCCACCCCTTCACTCCCCATCTTCCTCCTGTCCTGTCCTTCATCCTCCCTCTTCCTCTCGTTTTTCTCTGTCCTAGGTGGTGTCGCTACTGAACATGAGTAATGATGTTGTCATCTCTGTTAGTCTCCATTTATCAATGTCAGATGGAAAGCAGGAGTGTGGTGGATGTGTGTGTGTGTGTGTGTGTGTGTGTGTGTGTGGTGCTGGTGTGCGGGGGGTAGAGAAGAGAGAAACAAGGCAGCTAGGGAGAGGAAAAAGGAAAAAGAAAAGATGTAGCCAGTATATGAGAAGGAGAGGTAGAGGAAGGTTGCCACGATGAAGAGGAGAGATGGAAAAAAAAGGGGCGTGGCTGACAGAGGATGTGGAGGAGTGAGTTTGAAAGGGGCGGATCGTGGAAAAGATGAATTACAACAAAAAGGTCCCGGCCCTGCATGTGGTCTGTCTGTCTGTCTGCCTGTCTGTCTGTCTGCTGACACCAACAGGGAGCCCATGATTCATCGTCGCTATTACTGCCAGACAGAATTAAGGCTCTGCTCTTTAGCATATGCAAGTCTAATTATGCAAATCGGGTGTGTTAGACAAAACATTACTGCAGCAGTTAGTCAGTCTGGTTTTAGGCGCTACATGAATGTGTGTGCATTTGTCTCAGTCAGTCTTGCGACCCTGAAATGAAATGAAATTACTGCTTGTCAGTTTACCGGGTGAGTATTGATGTTGTTGTGAATTTGCAGACGCCGTGTTGTTGTGTATGGAGCCCATAAAATGGACAATAACCGAAAGAAAAAGAACGACTATTTTGCCCACACAACATTTCCTTTTCATCACCATGTTTCTAATTTTTGCATATTTAGTAACATCAGTGGAGACTGGAGCAGCTATGTGCGGCTAGCTAGCTTTGCTAACAACGCTGGTGGCTAAAGACACTGAGCACCAGCATTTTTAGCTAGGTACACGTTTAAGCTAACGCTCGTCATAAAATTACAGCAGCCCTATGTTCCCACATTTCCTTTTTCATACATTTGTATCACATCTTATCCCCCTTTCTCCCACTTTGGTAGCCAATTAACCATAACCCTAACCCTAACATAGGGCTGTGGGAACACTGGGCCCAGTGCATGTAGTCAGCCATGTACTGATGTAGCTTTGTTGTATAAACTCTTAGCAGTAGCTCAATCATTTTAGCTAGCAGGCTGATGAAGTTACCCTGCCTCTTTATAACATTATCTTCATCTTCAAGCGCTCGTCTTCACAATGAAAATAAGCCTTTGTTGTGTCATCCATGATATTTTTTAGATGTGTTGATGTATAAATGTATTTCCTTTTTTAAAAATAGTAGTGCTAGCTAGCTAATTTTGTTAGTGTTTGCTTGCTGAACGTTTTCTTTTATATTTCTGATATATTCAGTTATATTTTTGGTTTGTCTGAGAACCTTTTACTACATTTTGTCAGCTCTGGGGCTCCATAGTTGTGGTCCAATGACTGCACTAAGAAATGAACCCAGTGAACAACAAACTTTCATTTAATATGATCAGCGAGAACATTCTCTCTTTATTGTATCTTTTTGAAAAACAAAACAAAACAAAAAAAAGGTCTTTCGTAATTCTCTTTTGTTAACATTTCAGAATTCTGTACAGGATAAAAAGAAATAAGCACTGCTTAAGAACAGAGTCAAATCTCAAACTAGAAAAAACAAATGAAAAAAAAAATTCCAAAAAAGAGAGGAGGTTTACAATACAAATTAGTAGTAAGACATTGTCTGAAGTGCAATGGCATAGCTCAGATGGGTTAAACGTGAAACCAAAAAACTTCAAAATAAAAATACTTCTCTATTTTCCAACAAACAGTAAATTCTTTACAGAGTAGAGACTGTATTATCTGATGTATTTAAACCTGTAAAAACATATTTACAAATAGCCATTATCTTTTATATAGTTTTTCTCATAATCACATATATGTCAGCACCAGTAAAAAAAAACAAATAAAATAAAACAAAGAACATCAACAACAACAGTTTTTGTTAAAATGTTGTCTACAGACTTGGTCCCGGTACATAATGATATTTGGAGGAAGCTTCCTTTCTCTTCCTGAAGGGATTTCAAACCATATCGTGAATCCTTACTCTGAAGAAGACAAAATGTCACAAAGGTTGTGACCTTAACACTGACCCACAAGTGTTTCTCTACCTTCCTGCCTCCAGTTTGGAGTGGTAAACCTCAGGTGTTTTCCTACACATACACATGCCTCCTTTTAACTGGTCCGGCACTCTGAATTTTGATTTGAGCCTGCCTGGAGTACTGGAGCGGTATCGAAGTTTTGGAAGCATGAGCGGTGGAGCCATTGAAGCGGGGAGCACTCCACTGCTTTTCCTGCCGAGGAAGGCTCAAACAATCCACAAGTTTTTCTGGACACTGACACAGAGTTTTCATTTATCTGACCGTCTCCCCCTGATAAAACTGGGGGACGCTACAACCCTAAACATCTGCCTGCCGTTGCCCTGTACACTCCACACAGTGAGACAGAGGACTTCTGCTCCCCCAAACGTGACAAAATCAAAGTACAGAACCTCATTCGTGGGTGCTACCAAATGCAGCAAAGCTTACAGGACGATGGGCGTGGTGTTTAAAGTTTGTATTTAAAGGGTTGGATTATACAACATCAACAACCATGAGAACAGATGCGTTGATGGCAAGGAGTTAGTTTACAGAGAAGAAGGCTTTTTGGTTTGTTGATTACAGCATCATCCTCCAAACGTTCACTCTGATGAGCTAAATACAAAGTAATGCACGTACAAACACGCTTTCATTCAAATTTGAACCAAGATTACAAAACAGTTAGAGAAGTAAGGTGTTACCAACGACTACTGTATTAAAACCTATTCGACACATATTTATTACTCAACCATTAGGGCAAAAGAGTGGACAGCCTGTTGATGGTGAATGAAAGCCATAATGCCTGGAGGAAAGCCTACAGTTTACTAGTAAGCTGAGAGAAGGGGAGACACTGACTTCAGTGGAAGCACTGATTGTTTTGATGCTAACTGGCGCTAACCGTCGTCACGTTTTAAGCCCAATCAGCTGTCTGAAGTTTCTCTACTGTCTATAAAACAAACTCAAGGCTTAGCAGTGGTTCATTTTCCTAGTAAAGCGCTGGAAGGGGACAACTTGTATTTCTTCACAGTAGTGTTACAGTATAGCACAGTTACGTTTCTAGTTTGGAGCGAGGGCGTTTTATAGCTGCGGTACAAGAAAAGCCACGATGTAAAGCAGGGCTACGGTGATTGACAACTAGCTGTGTCACAATGGAAGGGAAGGCTGTGCTGCGACGGAAGGACAAACAGATTTTCAAAAGACAACACAAACTAAAAGAAGGCTAATTTGAACTTTTTTTTTTCTCCTTTTAATCGACAAAGACACAACCAGCATCATTGTTAGAGATAAAACACAGCAACGAACAAAACAATGTGGGTGGGCTTTCAATGAGCTTTTTTTTTTTTTCCCTTAAAAAGAAGAAGTCACTTGTGGTGCTTGAATACATTCAGTGCCCAGCGATCGTTTTGCTTTGTGTCAGCCTGATGCATGTGATGTGGTTTGTGTCACACAGGCAGAAGGTTTAATGTAATATTAGCTCTGTTAGCTGCCTCTCACACATCCGCTCATCCTCCCGGGCTGATGCTTGTTTGTCTGCTTGTTGGCGTGTGTGTGTGTGTGTGTGTGTGTGTGTGTGTACATGAGCTTTTGAGTCCTAGTGCTTGCTTTAGCTGCCTATTCTCTCCCTCTGTGTCTGCTTTTCACTCTCTTTGTCTTTCTTTACATGCATACCCGTCATCCTCAGCCACGCACAGGAAATGAAACCCCCTAAAAAAAGCCACCCAGGTCGGTTACCTAGCAAAAGCACTAGAGGGCAGAGTGCGCTTGTGTGGCACAATAGAAGAACATCATTTGTTCTGTTGTGATGTTCACAATTTAAACAGAGAAAGGAGTGTTGAGAGCGAGGAACGAGTCTCTGGAGAAAGGGTGGGAAAGAGGGGAGGAGAGAGGGAAGGAGGATGAGAGAGAGAGAGATCAAGTGAAGAGAACAAAGTGAGAGAGTGCGAGGGAGACAGATTCGTGTGTGTGTGCGTGTGTGCGTTTATATGGGGGGCACAAATCTAAGGGAGGAAATGGGAGCGCTGAGAGTGCTTTCTACTCCCTTCAGCTTCTCACATAGTTGAGAGATCTGAAGCACTGAGCTGGGTGGCACAAACACACAAACACAAATAAATTGCTGTCTTGAGAACAAGTCTTCCTTCTCCTTCATCAGTCTGCGGTGTTCAATCAGCCCCTGCTGAAGCTCGGGCTCAAAGCGCTGCTGTGTAAACGGGGCTCGCTTTCAAACACTGGAACATGAGAAAAATTCATTCCGTGGAGAAAAAAGGGAAACTAATGAAACACACCTCTTAATCTCTATATTGGTTTTTCATTAATATGCACGAGACATAATGATCACTCTCTCCATCTCACATTCACACACATACACACAAAACATAACACAAGAACTCATTTATAACCTTGCCCATGTTTTACAAAACAAAAACATGCCAGTCCACATCGTGTCATCCTTTTTGTTTTACTTTCTCAGGTTTTAACATTTGTTTAGTTCATCCAGTAAAAACTCCTCTCCAGTTTCCCCGTTGGCTATTGGTTCGAGAAAAACTCCTCCATCCAACCATCGCTTGAGTCCAGCTCCGCCCCTGAGCCATCGCCCAATCCAAATGCTCCTCCCCCTGAGGGCCCGCCCCCATAACCATAAGATGACATGTCCTGATTGGCTGTCCTCTGGTAGCCTGGTGGCTGACCTCCAACCCCGACTCCCCCTGGTCCGTAGGGTCCACCTCCTCCTCCCCCTGCCCCTATTCCAGGCCCCCCAGGGCCCGGCCCGAACCCTCCCATCCCAGTCATCCCCTGGCCCATAACCCCCTGGTTCATCCCCTGGTTCATGACCATGGGCCGGGGCTGGTTGGTCCTTGGCTGACCGCCCATGTGAGGGCCCATCATTGGGCCTCCCATACCGGCCGCTGGGTTGCCCACTCTGGGGTCCATTCCCTGGCTCATCCCCTGTCCCGGGCCCTGAAAGTGTTGCTTGGCAATGCGCGTGGGTTGACCCGGCTGCATCCCATAACCCTGGGCGGAGCTGAACCCCACCATGTCACCTCCCCCTCCTCCTGTAGTCCTCCCGACTCCTCCCCCCATGGCCTGCAGGCTCTGTCCTTGCTGCTGAGGCCAGCCGCCCGGCGCCATTCCCCCGCCTCCTCCTCCTGCTCCCAGCATGCTTTGCAGTCTCTGTGCTTGGGCTTTGGCGTTGGGAGGGCCTTTGAGGGGTTGCTGGGTCATGGAGTTCATTAACATCCCCTGTCCTCCATACCCTCCAGCTCCACCACCTCCGGGGCCTCCTGGCATGCCTCCAACCCCAGGACCTGCACCTGCCTGCCGGGGCGGCCCTGCGGCAGGGTTGTGCTGCGGTGGAAGACCCATGGAGGCTTGGACACTTTGGCTCTGGTGCTGCTGCTGGTGGATCATTTGGCTCATGGAGGGGTTGAGCCCGTACAGGGAACCCTGGTTGGACCCCTGGTTGCCGTAGGGTATGCCCATGTCAGTTTGGGGTCCCACTGAGCCCCCAGGCGGGCCCTGAACAGAACTCATCTGGACCATCTGCTGCTGGTTCTGCTGCTGCTGCTGTAGGAGACGGGCAGCCCGAATGTTTTGGAGAGTCTGGCTCCTGGACGCCAGATCCTGAGGAGGACCTAGGATGGAAGAATCAGAGGAGTTAAAACCAGAGACCAGAAACAGTTGGAAAGAAAATAAGTGAGGCATATGGAGACGGAAATCACCAGACTTCCTTAAAAGAGCTTTGCAGCCTGTATACTAGATCCACTTAAATCACCAAATGGCATATAAGACCAATCTAATAAGTCAGTGCTGAGGCAAAGATTTATGTCCTGTGACAACCGGTTTACTCTGGAAACGAATGCTTCCCTCACAATTTACTTCAAATCCAACCACGCTAAAATAAAACTAAACACACTGAAGCACCAGCACCTCACTTCTCCACTTTTCCCTATTAGAGGCTCGGTAGTAGCAGAGCCGAGGAGGTCTGCTAGCGTGGAAATGGCTCTAAATCCTCTAATAAACCCACTTCTGACATCATTCCCCTAATCCCTCACCTCACAGATCAGACTGCAACTGTAACAGAGGAGTCAGAACGAAGAGGATCACACACTCCAGACTAAGTAAGACCAAGTAAGTACAGAGTGTGCAGATTCCACACATATCTTCATGTAAATATAAATGAGTACAGTGAGTACGATTATGTTCTGATTGCAGGTGATACTAGCACACATTGCGTTCAAATGGCTGAAACGCTGCAGGATAGCTGAACTAACAGGTAGATTTCTAGGCCACAGTTTCATGCTGAAGCCCCCTCTTCCTCTCTACATTATCTCCTAGACTTGCAGACAGACTCTCTGATGGCTATAAATGGCTTTCGACTTGACTCTCCTCCTCCCTCTGTGTATTTCTTCATCTCTCCATCATCCTCTCACCCACTCATCTCTCTCTTTCTTTCTCTTCCCAACCTTTTCTTCTACCTACCAGACCATCTACCTATTCTTCTTGTTACCAGCCTCATCCCTCTCTCCCCCTCTTCCCCTCTCCCCCTCTCCCATTTCCCTCCTCTCATCCATCTCTCTGACTTCACCGGAACTCTGGGGGATCCAGGACAGACAAGTTGCCGTGGTAACAGGCAGAGCAGGAATATTCTATATTTTTTTTACGGAGAGAGCAAGAGAGGAGCGAGAGAGGAGAGAGAGAGCGGCTGAAGAGCATCTGAGCGCCAACTGATGTATCTGACAGAGACAGACAGAGAGGACGAGCTTTGGTTTCAGGGTGATGTTCAGTCTGCACTGCTGTTTGCATACATGTTTTTATGTGTTTGTGTGTCTATCTGTCTCTGAATATGGCAGAGAGTGAACCGTAAAATCTGTTAAATAAAATGTTAAATGTCTTGGCACTCTACCATGTATACCATACTTTTTGCAGACCAAGTACGCATGTGTGATTGTAAGCCTTTTTTGTGCCACCGTCTGGGTGATCGGCAAAGAAACTGAACCAAAAATCCATTTGCTAATGTGGTCATCAATAAAATGCTGAAGAATTTAGGTTAGGTCTGGCCTTTTTTATTAGAAAATCTATTGGGGTGCTTCGTTTCTTACATTTTTGCACGTAGTACATGTCTTGTTGCACGGATGAAATGAATGCATGTGTTTGTGTGTCTCACCTTGGTACTGATTGACTTGTGGGTATGGATTCCTCTGGCCCTGGCCCATCTGTCTGGGGAGATGCTGCTGCTGTTGGAGCTACACACACACACACACACACACACACACACACACACGCAATTGTTAAGAATGTAGGTGAGAAATGTGTAACATGCCTTCATATCTATTTCATGAATTCAAGACATGGCATCATTATGGGAAACAGACAAAAAAGGTCACACAAATAAAACATAAAAACTTAATTAAATGCTCACTGATGTCTTAGCTCCAAAGCTCGTATATAGTGATAAAACCAGGCTTTCTGTCACTAGACTTTCATTGGGGCAAACATGTTTGCCCAATTTATAAATTCATTAAATACTTGCATTGGACCAAAATGTGCAAAGCCGTCTTTGCTCCGTATCAGATTTTTCTTCTTGAACCTCAACATTGTGTCGTGAGTGTGGTAAATTGTAAGAGAGAATGGTCCATCGACAGGTATGGATACAGGGACCGACCTTAATTCTGATTTTGAGGGCTGATCAATCACTTAAATCATTTATTTAGTACAAATGCCACAGCACAGGTGAGACAGATGTCTGATACAGTTGAGATAGATGTCTGGTATAGTAGTGGTAAGACAGATATTGGGTACAGGAAAAAGGACATAGATGTTTGGTACAGTAGAGACAGACAGATGTTTGGTATAGCAGAAGTGAGAAAGATGTGTGCTTTCAGGATTAGATTAGTGTACAGTGTTTGCATGGTGCTCTCCGACACAAATAACACCGTAACTGATCACTGTTCAAATAGGAAACCAAAGGCAGCCCTGATACTCTATCATAGCCACAGTGCTGCAGGTATAGAGCATCAAGGGGGAAAAGCAACTACTGGATGTGTGCCTGGAAAGCAGAGGTGTAGCTCATTTAAATGGAGGTATGATATCCAGTTAACAACATACACTAAACCCCAACAGGATGCGTTTCCTCTCAGACACTTATATTTGTGTGTCTGTGTATGTTTTTGCAGATCCAATTAAAACCAACATAGTGGGTGGTGACTTCAGAGTTCAGAACTCTTTAACACTTGATTCCCTCACAAAGAGAGAAATAAAAAGAAAACACCACATTATCACAGCAGGCGGCATGTGGCAAAAACACACACATACACATGCACACACACACACTGCAGAGATGAAAAGGAAGTAGTGAAGAGGGGGCTGGTTGAGGGTAATTATACATGCAACCAGACAACAGTAAGGAAGAGGAGAGGATGAGCTTCTCTTGTTAGAGCTGCAGACAAACAAATATACAGGAATGCATGAACAAACTACACACAAATGATAATGTCATGCACAACAACTGACTTCTGCAGGCCTAGCCATTTTCACCACACAGTTAGACTAGCCTTATGTTAAAACCTCACCTGTTCGGCCAGTAGTTGCTGCTGTTGCTGTTGTCTCTGCTCTCTGAAGAGCTGCTGTTTCTGCTGCTCCATCATGTGCATCTGCACCCTCTTCTCCTGCTCCATTGCCATCATCTGCTTCATCATGGCGGCTTGCTGCTGGTTGCCCACGTAGCCCGGAGGTGGACCTGACCCCTGGTTGGGCCCCACCCCTGAGGCCACACCTCCAGCGGGGTGAGGAGGCGGGATGGCGCCCGGTGGTCGTGACATTCCCACCACACCTTGTTCCTGTACAGACAGAGAGGAAGAAACAGCTGGTCAGATAGACTGTTGAGCAGTCAGTCAATGACTTATCAATCAAGCAAGTTAAAGGAATAGTAACATACTTATTTGATTTCTTGCTAAGAGTTAGATGAGAAGATCAATACCACTCTCATACCTGTTTGTTAAACATAAAACTACAGCCAGCAGCTGGCTAGCTTAGCTTAGCATAAAGACTGCAAACAGTTGGAAACCAGTAGCCTGGCTCTGTCCAAAGATAACAAAATCTGCCAACCAGCACCTCTGAAGTTCGCTAATTAACACATTTTATGGTCTTATATCTACAACGGCTGGTGTGTTGAGTAACACTCATTATTGAATGTCCCGTAAAATGGTGAATTGTCATTCATACACTTTTTGTATAGGCTGAACAAATGTGACATGACATGCTAGTTTTACACGTGCTAGGCAATTTGTGTTATCTTCAGACAGACCAGGCTAGCCATTTCCCCCTGCTTCCAATCTCTGTGTCAAGCTAACTGGATGTTAGCAGTAGCCTCATATTAACCATGCACATACGAGAGCGCTATTGATTTTCTCATTTCAGGCTTGGCAAGAGAGCAAGTTTGTGTATTTCTTAAAATGTATGACTATTGCCGAGTCTATCTTAATGTTTGTATAGCTAAAAAGGGCAAAGCTTTACTTTTCTGCATCTAACGAAGCCATTTCAAACCATGGAGACCTCTACTACCATTGTTACCGCTCTTTATCCACAAGTAAGTGTCATACAATTACATCAGACACAGGAGAAATGCATATTCTATACACTCCTAGTATTGTTGGAATCTACAGTGACACCTGTGTGTTTTAGGCATAAAACTGAAGTCAGCCATTATGTTTCATAAAAGCTAACAAAGACACAGTCCAGGTGTCTGTGAATGAGGGTAAAAGAACAGGATAAAGACAGGACTGCTTCAAGATTCAGCTCGTCGGGCCACCCTGAGTCCTTCCAATGGGGCATTGGTTGGTCCTCGCTGCATACATTATCCCCTCATTAGCATATAAAGAGCACTTCCTCCTCCACTCAGCCGTATGCTAATCTCTAATAGGATGAAATGGCCTGCTCTGGCCAATGGGAGGGGAGCATTTATAAATCTATTAAAGGTTAGACAGCTGAACGAGGGTGGACATCGTTTAGGCCGGCTGACGGTAAGAGAGGGGAAAGGCCTGAGAGGAGAGGAAAGAACAACTCAGGCCAGTAAAGAGTGTCTGTGCACATAAAAATGCAACAACACGCAGCCAGCCACAGCCACACAGAGGAACAGACGGTGTACAACAAATCACATTTAACTGCAGGGCAAGAATGAAACAGCAAAAGCAGGATTACAGTAGTGCATTGTAGCATTGGCAAGAATCTGTAACACATCACTATACTCAATATGTTTTGAAAGAGCCAAAGCCACATAATCCGTGCCGAGGCTCCGCTCTTCTTAGAAAGGAGTTAGGTGGGGATAAACCTCATATATTAGAGCACAAAAAAACCCCGTGGAGCAAACAGAATCGGCTGCTTAAGACTGGCTCACCAGACAGCCAGACCAGACTGATCGATGTTCAGAGCTACGTGTCTCATCTCCGGTTGGCATGTTCTTAGCGGATGGCAGCAAGGCAGTGAGACGATGTAAGAAACGAGCAGAGAGGGGAGACGCAGTGTCAAGAAATGACCAACGGGTGGCAGTGGTGATCTTTAAGCATGCGTGTGTGTGTATGTGTGTTTGAGTCTCACCGGCCTCCTCTCAGCAGATGGCTCAATCATGACGGTTCTGATCTACGATCTCTCCCTCTCCCCCACTCACTCTCTACCTCTTTTCTTCCCTTCTCTCTAAACACCCCACCATCAAACTCCTTTCTCCACTCTTTCTCTGCTTCTCTCTCTTTTTCTCTCTGCAGACAGGGGGCCCTGAGTCATGTCCACACAATTGCCAGGAAGGAACGAAGGAACCGAAGAGAGATGGATTTCAAAGGAAGGAGAAGAGGAAAAGTCTCAGAGAATTAAAGACTTTGGTGGAGATGGTGTGTGTGTGTGTGTGTGTGTGTGTGTGTGTGTGTGTGTGTGTGTGTGTGTGTTGCAGGGGAGAAGTGGCAGTAGCAGAACAGTAGCAGTGAGCTGATGATATGACAGAAAACGACAGTAAGTATACGTTTTAGAGAGAAATAAAGAAGGGCAAAAGAGAAGGGCACATGAGGGGAAGGATGAGATGAGAAACTAGCAGTAGTATCTGTAGTATTTCAGTGTTATTAGTACTTCGCTGAAGCGTTGCTAATATACAACGAATTGAATGTCACGCCAATAAAGCGCATTGAACAGAAAGCAGGTATCCTCTTTAGAATGAAAAGGGAAATTAAATTAATTGAAGGGAAGAGAGAAGAAGAAAGGCACATGAGGAAGAGATGAGAAGAAAAGGAGAGCAGATCTTGTTTTTGGAGAGAAAAAAAAGCAGGAGGAAGCGACGGGAGGTGAGGAGCCGAAAGAGGAGGAGTAAAAGGTGGGATAAAGGGGAGGAGAGGAGAGCAGGTACCCTGGCAACAGTTGCTGCGGTGAGGAGCAGATGGTGCTCGGAAGAGCGGTTATGGCCGCCGTGCCTGGTCGCAACAAGCTGGGCAGACGTGAACGAGTCACACATACAGTATAGACACACAGTTATCCTACTTTCTTTGACCTCTTCTTTCTCTATTTATCAGTCCATCTTCCATTCTCTCTGTCCTAACTCATGAATGTTGTTGAATAATGTAACAAAGAGCATCCACAGTCTGTCTGTTTTCTCTTTTAGCCCTGTCGATCCAACTTTCTCTGTCTCTGCTTCTGTTTCTCTCCTCTCCCCAGATGCTTTATTCTGGCACCTTGTACCGGCTCGAGTCAGTCCTTAAACTCGATGCTGTTCAACAAAAAACAATCTAATGCTAATGAGACTCAACTGTTAACTACAGGAAGAACAGAGATGCTGGAGTTTGAAACTGCAACAGCTACTGTAAGATGCAGATAGATCAGTCTTTAGCAGGAAAGACCAGGCGGAAAGAAAAACGGAGGGAGGATGAAATGAAAGGAGAGGTGAATGTATCACAAGTTGTTCCAGAGGATGCGTGTGTTTGTTTGTGTGTGTGTGTGTGTGTGTATGAACGTGTATGTGTGTGTGTGTGGGTTGGAGGCTGTCAGCTTTATTGGGTTAGGAGGCATGGAGAGCCCAGGTGATTACATTACACGTGAAGTGAGCGAAAATGTGTGTGTGTGTGTGTGTGTGTGTGTGTGTGATGAACGTGTGTGTGTGTGTGTGTGTTTGTGTGTGTGTGTGTGTGCAAGTGAGAGTGGGGGAGAGAGCTTGTCCATTTCATTGCTGTGTCTCATGGAGCAGAAATATGTATCTACTGTATTTACTGTCTTTGTGTGTGTGTGTGTGTGTGTGTGTGTTTAAAAGGTATCTGCAGACACTGGTATGGTCACACACTCTCCAGTCTGGATGAAATCACTTGCTCCCTTGGTGACCACACAGTAGTGAGATTAAAGGCTGCACTGGCTTCTATGAAATAACACACACACACACACACACACACACACACACACACACACACACACACACACACACACACACACACACACACACACACACACACACACACACACACACACACACACACACACAGCCTATCAGAGGAGCGGCGCCTGGCAGCAGAGTGCTGGGTGTCTGTGCTCTCCAGAGTGGCTCACATCTGTCACCCACTTGTGTAAGAGAAGGAAGGGAGGGAGTGTGAAGAAGAGGAGAGCCGGAGCAGTGGAAGAGAGGGAACAGAGAGTGAGGAATGGATGGATGGATGAGAAGATGCCTCATTAGACTCTTAGGCAGACTACGGCGGCAATCAGACTGAGAAAGTGAACAGGAGTACATCTGAGCAGCAAAGCTGATCCGCGGTGGATGTCTCAGCAGCTGATGGTTTGTGGTACAGATGTGTGGAGTGTGTTACAGCACGTTAGTGTGGCCAGCTTGAAGGTCACAGGTTTGATCTCTTTAACAGCCTGCGCTCATCAATGTCTGAATGTCCTTAAGCCCCATACTGGTTGACCTTGCACTCTGACCCCGCCGGTGATGTCTGAGATGTGTAGATATATGTAAATCAGGAACGCTGTAAAAGACACTGGCAGTAATATGACTGGATGCCTCACAGAACGGGTCTGGCTGCTGGAGGCGAGTTTCTGCATTCTGTTTTCAAGGGTTCCAGCCTGAACAGTATTGATGCAGGTAGGATGAATAGAAAGACCAATATAAAGGCTGTCATAGTTATTTTTGCCAATGCCTGCTGTTTGGAAAAAAGGTACCTCTGCAGTATACAGTACAGTATTTACTGTAGATGATATATATACAATCTATAGAGCTGTACTCAACAATATCTATCTCTAATATTGTAAGACAAATTACATTGTAGGCTCATATAAAAAACACTCAATTCCTACATTTCAAAGTATATATGATTTCTAATAGTTTCACTATATGCACACTTAAAGCTGTCTTAGCCATTGCTAACATATGTGCACGACCTAGAACATACAATGACATGGAAATAGATAACGAATATGAACTCCAATGTCTGAATATATGAGGTATCACACAAGATAGATCTGTTTTCAGTAATGAAAATACACATTTTGAGACACATTTGAGGGAAAAACTATACTTACTAAAACATTTTAACTTGTTCTTAATCTTGATTTCTTTGGTATTATTCATCTAACGTCGGTTTCGACAAGTCAAGAAATGTTAAAGAAAACTTGTACTTTTGATGCAACTGTGTGACACAACTCTTATATTGAAATCCCATGTATCCACACACTGTGTCTGTGGACCATCAGGATTCAAGTGTCCTTAAGCGTCACACTCAACTTGCCCCTCTTTTTATGTCGCCCTGGTTTAGAGCTTTAGTTATTAAGTAACAGGGTCTAGATTGGTTGCTAGCAGAGCTAACTACTGGAATCCCTGCAC